CTATTTATGGAGCTGCAATGATCAGTGGTTGCTGAGATATGTGCACTGTGTCAAAACTTTTTGAACCACCCACGTATTCAACCACCTTTCTCTTCTGACTATTCGAATTCTTACCATAGCGGATTAAGTTACTAAAATTGAATAGGATTTAGAACAATCAGATTTAGAGAAACATAAATAATCGTCTTTCTGTATGATGTTTGTTAATATGCTGGACATAACTTTCTAAATCGTTACCTTCAAAAGAGAAATAGAAGCTAGATAGACTCATTTTGTATGAATGTTAGTTATTATAAGTAGACAATGGGTTTACTTAAAACAAATAAAGTATACACTCAGCTTTTTTATATACAGTTTTTCCATTAATTCTCATGAATGTTCCCATTGATTTCAAATCATATTTTCAAAGCTTCTCAATATTTTCGTTCATATCATAAATCAACTTTAATAAGTTTCTGACATTGAAATGTGATTAATTTAGCATGTTATACCATAAAAGATTGACAAAGTGTACTTTGAACTTTATCACTAAAGTTCAATCAAAAACCATTGAAATGTAGATGATAGATTTATAAATATTAGAGGTTGTACAACACATATCGATCAATTCTCATGATCATATCACATAATCATCCAAACCCCTAAAAAATTCTTATAATTAGAATTATTTAAACAAGTTTTTTGTTGTATATTGATGTTGGAGTTAAATGGACAATCGAGTGATGTAAAAAAATGAGATCATCAATATGAACAATACTACTTATTGTTTATTGTTATATTTTTAAAATTCAATTTTTATTTTTGATCTAATAGTAATAAAAATAAAATACAACAAAAAACAAAGACAACAGAAAACAAAAAAACAAAGTATATACAATAAAATAGAATTTTTTCTTTAGTGATTTCAATTCTCTATCCATCTCTTCTTATTCTCCTCTTTTTAACACCTGTTCCATTTGCTCTTTCAACTCTTCATTTCATTTATTTGTTGCCATAACTGCATTGCATAAGACAGCTTCTATACCCCCTCTAAGTGTCTTGCAAGACATGTGTGTCTATTTTCAACTGTTCTGGTAGTTGGTAAAAGGTTAAGAGTGCATCTATTCCAATACAGCAATGGTAAGTCTTCTGTTTTATAGCACTCCTATAATATTATTATTGCTATATTACATATTAATATTAAAAATACATCAATTCTTCATGTTATAGTAATAGTAATAGTAAGAATAAGAAAGGTGTTCACTTTGTATTTGAGGCATGCCAGGAATCTGCAAATGTTCAATATCAATACTCATTGCATTAGGGTCTGTATCTCTTTGTGGTTGGTAAAAGAACAACTCTCTTTTTGTTTGCCAGAGATGCCACAGATTACTAGCAACCTTATTGAGATATGCTTGAAGATATAGCCAGCAGTTTACAAACTTCTCCAATTCCTCTGGACTTTAAGAGGGTTTAAAGGTATTGTAAAACTCTCTAGCACACATACCCAATAATATACACAATAAGGCATATCTAACACCATGATCTTAATCTCAAGGCAATGAACTTGTATCATCAAGATAGGCATAGCACCCACTTGTCTCAGAAATTCTTTACCATACCCAGTTGAGCTGCTTGACCCTTTGTTATGGTATTGAACATTTGAACATGTGCATCCTTGCACATGCATACCAATCCAAAGAAACCATGAAACATCAGCTTTAGGCTGTGAACTCTCTAGAAATAATATTTCCAGACTTTCTTTGTCAGGCAGGGATACTTTAATACTTAAGTTATAATGCGAGTGACATAAGTCCCTTCATTGTAACCGTTGACAGTGACAACAGCCTACATATCGACTACGAGAGCTTGAGAACACCAGACGAATAGCAGCTGGTGGCGGACACGATCGGGGAAGACACCAGACGGATAGTAGCTCGTGGCGGACATGATCGGAGAGAGTTGCCCATAGCCGGCAGACCAATGCGCTGGGCAAGAGATCTGTTCCCAGAATCTGACACACAAGAGGAAGAGGAGCGGCTGTTCTCACCAGTCGAAAGTATTCCGGACGAGGGAGGGTACAGTAGTTAAAGAGAGTGGAGAAGGAGTTGAGTTGTTTGGAGGAGGGATCTGTAGTAATGTGGAGGGAGGTTGGTATAAGTAGGAGTAGTAATGAGTTTTCGGGCATTGTTTTATAGATACGGTTTACGGACACTTTTGTCGTACAGATATTGGCATAAAGTCGCAGTAATCGCCTATATTATCAATGAAGGAGCTGAGGACCTACCGTTCGAGCCGATATCGGCACGCCAACTATTTCTTATCCCTTGCATGGATCGATTATTCCTCCTAGATTTCTGCGCGTCCCTCCAATCCCTTCCTATATCAATCCATAAATCGTTTGGACCTTAGTGCATATTTTCGTATTGTCTGTAAAGAAATAGAATCAAATGCAGATGGAAGAGTTTCCTTTAAACCGTTCCAAGTGTAATCGCAATGTTGTCGTGTATATTGCTTATGGCCCATGCTCTCAATTACCTCTTGGAGTAGCAGTTTGTTAGCGGGAGATTTGACATGTTTTTTATTAATACTCTATAGAGGTCTTCCGCTTCATCATCTAATCTACTATCATTCCATCCATACACTTCGAATTCACTATCATTAACAAAAACATTGTCGGTTATGGTATTATTATATACAGGGAATCTGCTGGTTTTCTCCTTTTCCTCGCAAGATATTCATCACACAGGATTAGTGCATTGTGATCTTTATGGCGGAAACATAGTTTGCATAATGATGGATTTGAAACGGAAGATTTTCAATTAAGCACATTCATACGTGATCTTGGTCTGTCTCGCTTAATGAATTCACGCGAGTCTAATTCAACTATTCGAGGTGTATTGCACCGGACGTCTTCCGTACCTGCAAATTTACTCAGAAATCAGATGTGAATTCTTTTGTATTTGATTGCTACCGGTGAACCACCATTCAGATAAGACAACATTATGGGCGACCATCGATGCCTGATTCCGCACCAGAGGAATACAAGAAACTTGCCGAGCGATGTTGTGATGCTGATCCTGATAAGCGAAGGACTTTATGATAATATTTACAATCTTATTGACGAGGTGACGAAGGATAAATCTGATGACAACACGTGGAATGCCGTTTATTATAATGATGCAAAACCCTTATCACATCTCGAGAAGGAGAGCAAATATTCTAGTACGCTCTTACTTACTGGAAATCTGCCTAAACCAAGAAATAATTCTCATCAGTTATCTCCCTTATCAGATTTCAGTTTGCCAAGTTTAGAGGTAGAGTTAGGAAAAGTTGACGAGGAGTAAGGCAGGTAGTTTGGATTTAGTGGCGGTTACGAAGACAACAATTGGTCAATCAGACAATATTAACATCGTCCACTGCTTATGATTTAGTGACTCAAACACTCTTTGAATAAACGGGTTATTTACGAAAGGTTTATTCCTCTTCCAATTAAATACGATATGCTTCAATATGGTCGATTCCGAAATAAAATCGTGCACGTTTACTGTTAGAGTACATTGTTTAATATTGAGACTAAAGTTTATGAAATTGGTAATGAGTTTGAAATAAAATGCATAGCAACATTCGAGCTCGGTTTACTACTTCATTGTCACCAGCCGGATGGATTGAATCGATCAAAAATAGTCAACTATAATCAATCAATTGGCGTAGCTATGTTACATAACTAAGGCTC